GTTTCTAACTCTCTATCCCTCTCTCTTCCTCTCTGTAAAAAAATCAATAAAATATATTTAAATAAATAAATAAATAAAAGTGTCCTTTCAATCTATATATGTAAAAGGCTAAATGACCAGCCAACCAGACAGTAGGTATGATGTACACTGACCACCAGGGGGCAGACACTCAACACAGGAGCGGCTGAGCAACAGCAACTTTTCAGAGTGCCCTCTCCCACTTCAGGACACCTCGGGGGATATTGGAGAGTTGGTTTCAGCCTGATCCCCATAGGCTAGGTCAAGGGACGCACCTGCTGGAGGGACCCCACTCACTCTGCAGATGCCCTTCGAGCCCTGGCACCGCCCCAGCTGCAGCCGGCCGGGGAGGCTGGCTGCAGGGTGTGTCTGGCCCATCTCACCCAGTCCTGCCCCACCAGCCACCTTCTAATTATTTTTCTTTTAATGTGCATGAATCCATGCACCAGGCCACTAGTTAAAACACAAGCTACTAAATTGACCTATAATTGCTTCCATAGTTCTCTTCATCCCTTTCCTTTTTCTTAAGATAAGTATTTAATTTCTCATTTTGGTCTATAATATATGGTCTTGTTATACTCATATAGGGCTTTTGAATTGTTTTACAAATGCTTGTTCAATTTTTCTTTGTTAAGGGATAATAAAAATGTAGTAGCATTTAAATGGATGTATTGGAGGAAGAAAAAATATGCTGAGTAACTAAATGGACTGAAGTGAGAAAGAATAGAGAATATGTCCTTTTAATTCTTGCGAGTATTTCATAGTATTTGAAATATTGACCAGGTATCCTTATTCAGTGCACACATATGGTTTAACATATGTAGTGTTATCTAAATAAGTTTTATTTGATGGAATTGTTTTCTTAGTTTCCTTTTCAAATGCTTCATTGCTAATATATAGGAATTTAACTGATGTTGTGTGTTGATTTTATATCCTGCATATTATATTGCTGCATGCATTAATTAGGTCTAAGTTTTTCGTATAGAATCAATAAGGTTTTCTACATATAAGATTGTGTCATCTGCAGACAGAGATGATTTTACTTCTGCATTTGCAATTTGGATGCCTTTACTATATCTATATATATAAAAGCCTAAGTGACTGTTACTACTAGTCAACTGCTCAACCGGTCGACCTGTCACTATTATGTGCACTGACCATTAGGGGGCAGATGCTCAACACAGGAACTGCCCCCTGGTGATCAGTGTACTCCCACAGCCAACCTCCTGTGGCCGTCCAACCTCCTGTGATCCCTCCCCCCCTGCCAGCCAGCCCCTATTGGCCCCAATTAGAACTGGGCAAGACGGCCCCAATCACCGGCCAGGCTAAGGGACCCTACCCGTGCATGAATTCGTGCACTGGGCCTCTAGTTTTGCATAATTCCTCAGGTTAGAAATTCCAGTATTATGTTGAATAGAAACGATAAAACCAGACATCCTTGTCTTGTGCCAATATTAGAGAAAATGTTTTCAGTTTTTAACCATTGAGTATAATGTTAGCTTGTGGATTTCTCATATGTGGCCTTTATTATTTTAAGAAAGTTTTCCTATTCCTGTTTTTCTTTTATCATGAAAGGCTGTATAATTTTGTCAAATACTTTTTATTCATCAATTGAGATGATCACATGTTTTTTTTCTTCATTCTGTTAATGTGGTATGTTACACTGGTTAGTTTTTGTGTGTTGTACCACCCCCCCACACACATTCATTTAGTTTTCTGAAAAGTGATACAGTTCTATTATTTGACACATTTGAAAAAATATATGAAAGCTATCTACACTAATAAAAGAGAAACATGGTAATTGGCGTACGACCGCTACCCTTCCCATTGGCTAATCAGGGAGATATGTAAATTAACTGACAGCCAAGATGGCGGCTGGCAGCCAGGCAGCTTAAAG